TACAGCAAAGTACCATTTTCACATGAAAAAAATAAGACTCCAAACGTTGTCTAATATCATTAAATTAACCTTTGTTGATCTCTGACTACAAAATGACTGACTAGATACATCTTTGAAGATTTACCAGAGGCAAGTGGATATTTATTTCTTTAGGGACTCTGTTATTACAGCTCTTCCTCTTAGGCCCCAGCTGCTCTTCTTATCCAGCATCTTCTGCATTCCTGGGGCTTAGCGTGGGGTCATCGGTGAAGATCAACATCACCTTTCTCATACATACTAATAATAGCAGTTGGGAATTTGGAGATTTGGGCTATCTGTAAAATATGGATTACTTTGCCACTTTACAGACAGCAAAACAGGCCTACCTTGTTCCTGATTTATTATTTTTTAAAATATATTTTTATTGATTTTTTACAGAGAGGAAGGGAGAGAGATAGAGAGCTAGAAACGTTGATGAGAGAGAAACATCGACCAGCTGCCTCTTGCACATCCCCTACCGGGAATGTGCCCGCAACCAATGTACATGCCCCTGACCGGAATCGAACCTGGGATCTTTCAGTCGCAGACCGATGCTCTACCACTGAGCCAAACCAGTTTCAGCTGTTCCTGATTTATTTAAGAAAGCAGCACATTCAGGGGCAGCTCAAGGATGAAAACCAATGGCCTCCCAGCCCCCAAATCGGGAGCCAGGCCCATGAATTATCCTGCCACTGACATAATTAATATTGCAGGAGACAGAGAAAAGTCAGGGCAATTCTGACCTCCAGATACTATAACCTTTACAAACCCTGTCTCTCCTTAATTGTAGTAGTAATGTGAAAAATGGTTTTACTCATAAAGCTTGTAAACCAACAATAGAATGTTGTTAAATATATATATTTGCAGATGTCCACTGGGCAATGAGTCCTATAACTTAGGCACATAAACTCCTGAGGGAGGAGAGACAGAAAGACAGATAAATTTTCATTACAAATAGAACTATGTAAGCATACTATTTCTGTACCTTGTCTTTCTTGTTTAATAATATATTACAGATATCATTCCACGATATCACAAAAAATTACCTTCTTTTACTGGTTGCCTATAGCCCATTATGTATAGGATTTGTTCTATGCGTACAGGGCGGGCAGAAGCAGGGTTACAGTTGTGAGTATGTGAAGCACAGAGTATATACTTAAATTATTATTTATTTGTATTATGACTATAAATCTACTTTTGCCCACTCCTGTATATTGGATTCATTATCATTTATTTAACTTCCCAATAGTTCCCTAAGGCAAATCACACTATAGTAACTCTTGACCAAATGTTCTTGTGTGCACTTGTGAAATTATTGGGTTAAAACCTTCATGTTATTTTTTTCTCCAATATAACTGATTTGTTTTTATTCGTTTTATAATCTTTTTATTTGTTTTATTCCATCTTAGGTTCCATTACATTTCGCCTATATCCGTCGTGTGTGTGTGTGTGTGTGTGTGTGTGTGTGTGTGACAGCATAGTGATGTTTTTCATTTTTGTTTTATTTTGCCATCATATATTTTTACCACTGTTGTGCAGAGTTTTAAATAATAAGAATAGTTTTCCTTCTTTAAAAACATCTAAATTTATCCTCTAAGGCATTGTTTTTGTCATATTATTTTTTAAATGTTCATTTTGTAAAAAAACTGTAAGATATAGTTCTTGTGCTATATGTAATTTACCCCATTTAAAATGTGCAACTCTGTGGTTCTTAGTGTATCTGCAGAGTTGTGCAACTGTCATTACAATCTATTCTGAAACATTTCATCACTCCCCAAAAGAAATCCTTTAATGTTTAGTTGTCACTTCCTAAGCTACAAATCTATCATTTATTTTTATTTGTTGTTGTTGTTGTTAATTCTCACCTAAGGATATTTTTTCCATTGATTTTTTAGAAAATTAAAGGGAGAGGGGAAGGGAGGGAGGAGAGAGATTAGAGATACACATCAATTGGTTGGTTTGGTTGCCTTCTACATGCACCCTGAGGGCCCGTAATCAAACCTGCAACCAAGGACATATCCTTGACTGGAAATCAAACCAAACTGCAGGTGTGTAGGTTGGTGCTCTAACCCTCAGCCATACTGGCCAGAATACCAATTCTATCATTGAAAGTTTTAAAGAAACTGTGCCCTCAAAGCAGCTTATTGACCATGTTCCCACCAATAGTCCACTGAATGTCAGTTTCCTCAGACCCTTCCTATATTACCAGAATATTTAATTTTTATTGGTTTTTAGATTTTAAAAATGTCTTGCTTCAGTTGCATGTATTTTATCATGATTGGTGCTAACCATCTATTCTCGTGTTTCCTGGCCATGTGTGTCTCCTCTCTGGGCAATGCATTGCAGACCTATTTTAAACACAAGAAGATGTATTGTTGTCACTATTTTTATCCCATTGATCATGGCATGATACACTACCTGGGGCTGGGAATAAGGGGGGGGGGGTGGTCACTATGAAGTTAGTTAATATGAATTACAAAAGCAAAAGCACTTCCGAAGAGGCCCCAGACACCCAGAAACCTGCCCTGGCACTCCACACCCTTGTCTGCAGGCCTGAGCCACTTTGGCCTGAGGGTTCTTTTCATTGGGACTGTAGCCTCCAGTGGTCAGAGGTAGAGGAGGATGCTGACCCCCATGATGTCCACCCTGCCAGGAATCAGAAAGCCTCAGCCCGACTCTGCTAATCATGTCCCCGATTATTAGTAAGCCAGCAAGATGTTGTTATGCTGCTTGTGGTGGGAAGCCCAGTTTACTCCCAGCAATCTTCCCCTCACCTAAGGGATGTGACAATAATATCTATATAGTATTTAACATATTTGAAATGGCCAGTTCATTTGTAACACTCCTTCCTCTCTACCACAAAATCATTTCCAGTATAATCCTACAATGATGATGATTATACTAAGCATGATTTTCCTGAATCTACATCAACAATTAAAAATTCATTAACATTCAAATGAAAAGTACACAGAGCATCACTTCTTTGACATTTCTGTCAAACATGCAGGACCTGGGTCTAATGTGGGAACATCAGACACACCAAATGAGAGGCTTTTGGTGGAACAGTTGGCCTATCTTCTTTAAAAGTGTCCAGGGCCCGAACGCCAGGGAAAGGCTGATGACTGTCCTAGATCAAAGGAGAGCAAGGAGACAGGACTTGGCTCAGGACTGGGTCCTTTACATGGAAAGGACATTACTAGGACAACCAGTGGGACTTACGTGGGCCTGAGCATTGGTGGCGTCATTGGATTGATATTGACTCCTTAACTTTGATGACTGAATTACAATCATGGAGAAGGTCCTTGTTGGTAGGAAATATTTACTAAGGAATTTGGGGTTGGTGGCAGGTCAAGCATATTATTCTCAAATGATTGGGAATGAGGGGCGGGGAGGAGGTCATTTGTACAAGTTTGTTCTCAGGCCATACTTCCAAGTTTTCTCTGTGTTTTGTTTTTTTTAATATGAAAATTATTGTGAAAAATCTCAATTGTAGTTGTAGCAATTGTTGGACGTAGACCAACAAAGGACAGTTCTGAGTATTTTTCACCAACATTCTCTAGAATTGCTGACATGAGGTGGCAATTCAAGTCAGTGATTATGGCTTTGAAATTCTCCGCATCCAGTGCCTCGGCTTACTGCCTCCCCGGCGGAAGCAGCAGCAGCACCCGCCCCTCAGCTCACCCTGATTACAGTGACAGATCCTGCTACAACTTCACCAGACGTGGATCAGTCTCCCCCACACAAGGGGACCAGGAACACTGGGGCAATTGACCAAAAAGACCACTGGGGACAGTGTTAGACTGCTGCACTGTCCACACAGGGCAAGGTGCCTACCATCCAACCCGCACTCATTTCATCAGGCGAAAATGCTTTGAAGTCACCCCTTTGCTAACTAACAAACTTTTTTAGTGTCAAATGTGTCCAAGAAGCCCTTGAATTAGCTCCTCCTTACGGCAGGAATTCTGGTCAGGGTGTTTCAAAGCCTGTTTCAAAGACATATACCGTGGGCATGTATGTCTGACCATAGCCCAGCACCCGGAATGCAGGTTATCACAAACCAGCCCGTACACCTGCTCACTCGATTTTGAAGTGATGGTGTCTGCAGCATGCACACAGGAGGGCGAGCACGGCAGTACCATCCTTGTGGGCTGTATGACGGGTGCCTGCACCTGGACGTCTGTGCCATGAGTGTCGAAATCAGCACCCTGTGACCTAATATAGTAGATGCCAAGGTGCTTTTCTCTTCAGGGAAGCAGTGTGCAGTTGAGAAAGAGATCTTGCAAATGAAGGCAGTTTGCACTTGCCCACAGCCCAAGGGAGGCCCAGATGCGAAGAATCAGTGGCTCAGTGGGCTGCTGTCATTGGCTTGTCCTCTGCTGGCGGCCTGGGAAGCACCAGGAGGGGGACAGGGAGGTCTCCTATGCGAGGGGGTATTGCAGCCTCAGCCCCTGAGTGGAGACCCGGACTTTCTCTGTGAATGTCCAGTTCAGCATTTCAGCCTGGGGAGAGCAGCCTTTAACCTGGTGCTTATCCTGTCCTGTCTCAGTTCCCAGGAATGAATATGTCTCTCTCGAGCCCCACTGGGCAGAGGAGTTGCCCATCGAGGATCTTATGAAACATTTAGGTCCTGGGCTGCTTCCCCATAGTGTCCCTGGGAGAATCCCTGCTGGACAAACCCCCAATGATGTTGATGCCCACAGTCCAGGGCCCTCAGAGGAGCCCTCTTCTAGTGGCAGGACCATGGGGCTGGCAGTTAGAAAGCACAAGTTTGCCTCCACAGCCCTTTCTATTCTTAACAGGTGACTTGGGCTTCCCGCATGTGCCGTGCAGTAGATGGGAAAGCCCTTTACAAACAGTGAGGCTCTTCCAAAGCAAAAGGGTTTTGCCCCGGTTGTGACATTAACCTTGATGCTCTACCGTGGACGCTGTAACCTTCTGGTGCCTCCTCTCCAATTCTTACAAAGACGCTGTTCTGTCCCCAGCCTTCACCACAGCCAAGTGTGAGAAGCTCCAGAAGGAGAAGGAGGAGTTGGAGAGGCGGTTTGAGGACGAGGTGAGGAAGCTGGGCTGGCAGCAGCAGGCCGAGCTCCAGGACCTGCAGGGGCGGCTGCAGCTGCAGTTCCAGGCGGAGATGACACGCCTTCAGGAGGAGCACAGCGCCCAGCTGCTGCGGATCCGGTGTCAGCACCAAGAGCAGGTCTGTGTTTGCGCTGCGCTCTCTCTGCTGTTGGGATGTCCAGGAGGAAGGTGGTGGGGGAGCAATGCTACTTGAGCCCGAAGTCCTGTCCGTAGGTGAGCTACTTGTAAAGTTCCCTCCCTGATTTCATTTCTGTCTTCTATTGCCTCCTTTCTTCCCCTCCTGCCTTTCTGGCCTCTCTCTCTTTGTTCTGCCAGGCATGCTCCTCCCTCCTGCCTAGAAAGTTCTCCCTCTAGACACTCCGTGGCCATCCTCACAAGCACCAAGTGAGAATTGTCTGCCAGGCTTACTGCTAGGATTTTGGTACCTGAATGTGCCTGCACTGAGCAGGCCGTAGGTTTGAACTTGCTGAATAAAAGCATGGATGCCGCTCTCTGGCCCAGCAGTCTTACTAGAGAGAGCAGTTCATCTGGAATGAGTAAAGGATGATTCCCAGGGAGCCTGTCAGGGGGCAGCAGGTAGGAGCTGGAGCCCCTTGTCCATCACTGTGTGTCCTGACCGGAGACTCTGCTTCCATGAGAGCTAGTTCCGCTCCATTCTCTCTCAGTCCCCAAGACTCTGTTGCCTTAATACCCACCTTCTAAGTGGTGTATTGTTTCTTGTGGTCTGCTAATGCTGCCCCCCTCCCACTGCTTCCAAGTAGACATGCTGGATGGTGACAGTCCCCAGAGACTTGTGAGCCTAATGGGCACAAGGAGAATTTCAGAGTAATAATAAGCACTATTGTTGTAATTAAAAAACATTCCACTTGACACATTTTATTCCACTCAGCATCTTTTCTGTGGAAACCAGACACACCTGCCTGCTTAAGGCAGTTTAGACATAGAGACCAGGAAACAGAATAGGTTACAGCTAAAATTACCACTGGTGCTAATGTGAGAACCAGGTTTCCAGCATCTTGCCTCCTGAGCTCGAAGAGCATAACTTCTGTAAGCAGACATTTGTCCCTGTGGCTGTCTGCAGCTTTAGCATGGCCCTTGGATACATCCCAAACTCGCTGCAAATAGCGGCTCTGTGCCTCTGTATCCCTGGGCCATTCGCTCCCAGTTTTTCACAGAGAACATGTTTATAACCTGTATTCACTGAGACTTCTGGTTCAAGGCTCTGGGTTGGCTGAGAAGGTGCCAAGAGGTGGGAGGGTGGGCAGGAGGTGGCTGCCAGGCAGGAGAAGGTGCTTTGAGGGGACCTCGGAGTGAAAGCTCCCTTGCGGTTTCATGTCTGGAAACCACGCAGCTGAGGTCACTGGTGGGTAGAGCCTATCCATGGGTGGGGCTCGGCGTGGGCACAGCACCCCTCAGTGTCCTGTGAGCAGAAGCACAGTGGGGAGATGAGCCCTCACCTCAACTTTAAGCTGGGACACAGCAGCGTTTTGGAGATTTCATGTTGGGCAGGATTGAAGGAAGGAAGGCCCTGACATTGAGAATAAGTTGCAGAAGCTCCCTGTGAACACTTAAAAAGGGCTTTATCTTATAAGGCCTCTGAGTTCTGTTCTTCTTGATCCTTAAAGCGATTCATCTACTTACCATTCACCTGAGCCAAGAACATCTAAGGAGTGCCCACGGCACATCAGGCACATGTCAGGGTCCTGCCAGAGGCACCCAGATTTATAAACCATGGGCTTGCTTCAACCATGCCTCAGGCGATGGCCAGGGAAGTTCTGAGGAAACTGATCTTGGGCGAGCAGCAGAGACGTGTTTAGAATTGAGAGCTTACTTCTAGCTGTGAGGATAGGGAACATTTTCTGGTAGAATAACATCTGAGCGCTATAGGTCTGAGTAAACCTTACCTGCAGAAACCCACCAACTGGGGGGATGGATGATTGAAATCTGTGTATCGTCAGGGCACATGCCTGGGTTGTGGGCTCAATCCCTATAAGAGGTGTGCAGGAGGAGCCAATCAATGATTCTTTCTCATCATTGATGTTTCTGCCTCCCTCTCCCTTCCTCTCTGAAATCAATAAAAAACATTTTTTTTAATTAAAAAAAGAATGGCCAGTAAATAAAAGTGAATCATTGCATATCATGTTCATTTGAAAAATGTGAAGCAACTATCCTAACACTGTGGAGTTCATTGTTGGTTTTGCCAGTGATATTTCTGTTTTCATGGATGAAATTCTCTTTTACCTTAGGAGAGAAAAGTCAGGCAAATTTTCCCATGCAATTATAGTACCCAGAGTGAAAATCTACCCCATTTTAAAATAAAAATACTTCCATGCATCCAGCTACGTAAGCAGGTACTGAAGGGAAGGAAAGGAAAGTCCGTAAGAGAACCCTGGAGGGCGTGACATGGGCAGCCCCCTCTGCCCCAGCAGCCAGGAATAGGTGTCTGGGATGGGAATAGATGGGAGGTTAATCTGATTTGGGTTTAATGAGTAAAGCAGAGATAACACAAAGCACATGCATCTTCATTCTATGTAAGTTGTCAGATAGTTGTGTGTTGTAAATGGCTGAGTAAAGGAAGCCCACAGCTGCACCTTGCCCATCTAGAGGGTGGCTCTCTGACCCTTTGCTATGCTGTTGTTCAGCCCAGCACAACTGTAAGCCCCTGCGGAATGGAGCCTGCCGCAGGAACAGCTGCTTCTCCACACCACCAACCAGTGGGGGGCACAGCCACAGTCTCCTCCTCCATGCGCAGTCGGAGCTCTGTCTTCCTGGAGAAGGAAGGAGTGGTCCCCAGTGGCTTAAGGCCCTAAGAGAAGGATGCTTCCTCCCGCCTAAGCTTGCCAGGGACTGAAAATGAATCAAATGATCTGGTGTTTCCCTTCCTTCGACTTGTCTGAATCCTTTCAAAGGCCCTCAGAGGGTTGCAGGATGTCCTCAGGCTGAAGCTGCTTCAGAGAGTGAGGCCATGCTCTGGAGAGAAGCCAGGAGCCCCAGAGGAGCAGTCAGGGGAGTTAATACTCTGACAAGAGGAGGAAGCCAATAGTGAACAGCTCCTTCCCCATAGAGGGAACAGACTTCAAAAACCATGAAGATGTATAGAACCTTTACTGAAGAGCAAGGATTCTTATGCCCAAGTCTTGCTCATTGGCTCATATTGGTTTCCTCTTGTTGCATATGGCCTTTCAGAGTTAGGCAATCTGTATTTCATTCATAAAAGCACCTGTGAGGGGCTGTAACAGAGAGACCGTGCCCTTACATCATGCTTACTATATTGAGCATGGTATTGAGTCACCATTAAATCAAAGACCTGCCTCCCAACAAACCAGAAGGGTGACGTTCAGCTTCAGACATAATGTCATATTGCCTGACAGGGCATCTTCTCCGCCCAGGACACAGGAGACCCTTCTGGAATATGGTCATTTGTGTCAGAGCCTATAAATTAGAATCACACCAAGAACTGATCAAAGATTTTTCTTCAAACTGAACTGGGTAACAAACATCCAAATAATGTGTGGGTATCTATATCTACAAACAGGGTGATCTCAGCTCAACTGATACAATAATGAAGCTGAAAAAATATATACTTATATTTTTTTAACCAGGATTTACTTTTTCAAGAGACTGAAATGCCTTGGGAAAAGATTCTATGAAAATCTCATATAAAAATGAATTGGACAATTATGTACTATGGTAATCAGCATTTCTGATTAATGGAGTCATAGGTCTGAGCCTAAGTAAAACATTGTTTCATCAAGAATGGCCTGTAAGCTTGGCTGGGGTAGTTCAGTGGTTGAGTATTGACCTATGAACCAGGAGGCCACAGTTCCATTCCCAGTCAGGGCACATGCCTGGGTTGTGGGCTCAATCCCTATAGGAGGTGTGCAGGAGGAGCCAATCAATGATTCTTTCTCATCATTGATGTTTCTGTCTCTCCCTTCCTCTCTGAAATCAATAAAAAACATTTTTAAAAAATTAAAAAAAAATGGCCAGTAAATAAAAGTGAATCATTACATATCATGTTCGTTTGAAAAATGTGAAGCAGCTATCCTAACACTGTGGAGTTCATTGTTGGTTTTGCCAGTGATATTTCTGTTTTCATGGATGAAGTTCTCTTTTACCTTAGGAGAGAAAAGTCAGGCAAATTTTCCCATGCAATTATAGTACCCAGAGTGAAAATCTACCCCGTTTTAAAATAAAAATACTCTCATGCATCCACTCCACACGTGGGCTTCCTCTCCTGTAGAGAGCGCTTCCTCCTTTAAGATCAAAGCTCAGCCTGTGAATTACCCCCAAGAAACAAAGGACCCAGGCGGTGGCTGAATGGTACCAACTAGAAGCAGTATGTTTAACTGGTCACCAAGGAGCTTCAGGACCTGGGCACACTTCCTGCCTCAGTGTTTCTCAAACACCAGGTTTTGACACATTAGTAGATAAAATTTTAAAAAACAGATTATTGAAAGTAGGAGAGGAAAGTATTGTTTTTGACACTTTGGTTTGTGCATGTGCAATATGTTGCATTGTTCAATAGTATTTTTTGCAATGGTGACTGACAAAGAATTTGGAAAAACACTTCCGGTTTGCTAACGGGTGGCGGGGTGGGAGTTGAGGGGTGGTTGGGGGGATGTTTTATGCAATTACTCCTGTAAGTCATACATTTGAAGTTAAAAACAACAGCACAAAAACAAAATAACAAAAACAGTACATGCAGTGATGGTGGGGATGGAGGTGGAGATCTTTGTGATTAAAGTCCTGGAAATGACTGCAGCCTCACATTACTGGACTGGAGGCCCAGATTGAAAGTTGGTGCCTAGGAATTGGGTGCAGGCTGCCTTGGCCTTGGTGAGAGGCTTCTCGGACACTTGTTGCTCTTGCTGGGAAGGCAGCAGGGGTGTGTCTGAGGGAGCTTCGCATGTGCAATCAGACAGACCTGGGCTGACTGCTGGCCCACCCCTCACTGTGCCTTGGGCAAAATGTTTCAACCGCTCTACGCCTCAGTTTCCTATAAGCTGGGCACAAGCATTCACTTTACAGCGTGCTAGGAGGGTGAGCCGAGTAGCTGGTAGCAGGTAGCTTAGTAAATGCTAGTTCCCACCATGTGCCTTATGCACTGTGGCTTCCACCTGCCCTGGAGCACAGAACAGACCATCTAGAAGGGTGGTCCTTCTTGTCCTCCTTAGTCATCTTCACCAGAGTGGTTGGTGTGAGGGGAGGAAATGGGAATGAAAGTGGATGGACCATGCCAGGCCCAGGATGGTAAAGAGGGGCCTCAAGCAGCCATTCCCACAGGAGCCTCCACCCTCCTGCAGAGAGCCTCCCTCCAGGGGCTGCCATATCCCCGCCAAATCCCCGCTCTCCCCCTCCACACGAGGTGAGGGTGGCTGTCACCACAGCTGAATGATGTTTCCTTGAGTTTTGAGCCACTGACCTTTCTACTCCGTTCTCCGGGCAGTGAGGGTATCACTGCACCCTCCGTCCCTGTGAATGTCACTGTGGTTCTCCCGCAGGTGGAAGACATCACCGCCAGCCACGAGGCCGCTCTCCTACAGATGGAAAGTGACCACACGGTGGCCATCGCGACCCTGCGGGATGACCACGACCACAAAGTCCAAGGTAGCGCCTCCTGCTTGCTTGTCCCACTTTCCTTCCTTCCTTCCTTTGGTCCCTGGTGTGCTCTCTGTGTTACTTGCTGTGAAAAGAAAAGAAGGAAAAGAAAGAAAAGAGGAAAGAAGGTAGCACTTCTTTCCTCTGCGGCAGTTACTCTGGCCTTGCCTGGATGGTGGAATCCCTGGGCGCTGTGAATGGAGGCTGGTGCCCGCCTAGGTCCACTCCGGCCCCCAGGCAGCTGGTCTGGGATGCAGCTGGGCATCTAGGTTTTAGAAAGCTCCTGGAATGAGTGTGACGGGGAGTCGTGCTTAAGACCCACCAATCCTACATAGGTGTGGGAACCCCGGGCCGCCGTGGCCTTACCCAGCAGGCCCGTGGACACCCCTTTCCCGCGCCCAGATGTTCTCAGGCCACCGAGGCATCGGGTGGGATCTGGGTTCACAGCTTGAGCGCACAGACCAAGGTCTCCAGGGACTGGAGTAGAGTCTTCGGATCCATCTTTTTATATTTGTGGTAATTTAGGGTAATCTTTGGGGACTTAGGGTTCTATGTAGATTATAACAGCAGCAGCAACATTTACTAAATACTATTAAGATTTTGACTTTGTGAAAGAAGTTTTTATGCTTTTAACATGCAATTATACTAATATGCAACTTATTTTTCAGTTTTCCCCCCTCACTTTTTTCCCAGTCAGACATCTAACAATAGATCAATAAATTTAAAATTAATAAATTAAAAATTTTAAGAATTAGCATCATGTTTTATTTGTTTTGTTTTGTTTTGTTTTTGTTTTAATCCATGCCCAAGGATATGTTTTATTGATTTTAGAGAGAGAGTAAAAGAGAGAAAGCAACATCATTCAGTTGCCTCCCGTACTCACCCACACTGGATTGAACCCACAACCTCTCTGTGTAGGGGATGGCACACCCACCAGCTGAACCACCTGGCCAGGGCATGTTTTACTATCTTTTTTAAAAAATATATATTTTATTGATTTTTTTACAGAGAGGAAGGAAGAAGGATAGAGAGCTAGAAACATCGATGAGAGAGAAATATGGATCAGCTGCCTCTTGCACACCCCTTATTGGGGTTGTGCCCACAACCAAGGTACATGCCCTTGACCAGAATCAAACCTGGGACCCTTCAGTCCACAGGCCGACACTCTATCCACTGAGCCAAACCGGTTTCGACTGTTTCACTATCTTTAAATGTGCTTTGTGACCCTGAGCTTGCTGTGCTGAGTCTGTACTCATGTCACACTCCCTGAAGCTCCAGCCCCAACACTGTTAGTACAGGAAGCAGCCCGAGCAAGGAGCAAGGGAGGTCGTTTCCTGAGAACTAGTCTGAGGTGCCATCAGAGTGCAGCGTCCCCTGTTGTAGGTATTTTCATGTCTTTGCCATAGACATCTTTCCTGAAAGCATTCTTGCCATACACATTTGCACCACATGCCTAACTGGCTACCAGGCAATTTTGCCATAAAAAAGATAAAAATCACAACAAATAGAGGGACATTAAAAATGATATAATGAAACATAAAAAAGGAATGACAAAAGTAAGCTTTCATTTAAAATATGTATGGATTCATAGCAATGGTGCTCAAATAACTGATTTTATTTGTAGATGTAAGGTAGGCACATGTCTCCTTCTGAGGGAATTCAAGAGGGCACTCGGCCTCCCTTTCTCCTCCCAATGCACTGTTTCAAAATAATAAACTGACTCTTGGACAGACCATCTCATCTGGAAGAAATGCTAACTGTTTAAGAGTACCATCACCACATGTGTCCACTCTGTCCTACATAGACCATAATGAGTGCTCGCTAAGATTTACATAGAACATAAAGATGGGAGTAACAATGAGAATCATCAATGGAGAAATGAAACTGAACAACAACACCCCACACACCAAACTATCAACCAGTTGTTTTATCTCTTTACAGAACGGAAGCCTTAGAGCCAATTAGTTGCACAGGAAAAATGTTGGCAGCCAGCAAAGACGTCTGGGCAGACACAGCACATGTGCCAGCTCCCACCCTGGCTACCCATTGGGACCACCTGGGAGTTTAAAAAAACAATACTAATGAGTAAATCCCACCTCAGAAATTCCACTCTAATTGCTCTGGGGTGCAGCCCGGGCATCAGGACTTTTTAGAGCTCCCCACATGATTCTAATATGCAGCACAATTTGAGAACCACTATCTTGGAGCACAGTGTTGGGTGTGGGCAGAGTGTTATGACCTCAAAACAGATAAATATGTTATGGATACATAGTTGTCAGCCATGGTATATACCATGTCCAGAATAGATACTCCCTGCCTCCTTCTTGGGGTATTGGGACCATCTGGAAATGTCCTAAAGCCCATTGTTGTGCTGCAGAAAAACAGTCTCTGACTGCGAATGTGAGAGGAAATGATGCAGTGAGCCACGTTTTTGCCTTTTGTTTCTGGATTTTCATAAAATAGACCTGGTAGATTTTTCTCACTAACAAACCCTTGCTTAGACACCACATCAAAGGCCTTTGCATTATATATAACACATATAATAGTAGTAAAAACATTATTATGGTCAGGGCAATGTGTTCAATGGCTATTAAAACCAGCAATTTAGACAGAAAGCCACATGGCTTTATCTTAATTAAATCAGCACAAATTAAATTTTTCCAAATGTAAAATTTAGCTATACCAACTAGATTTCTTAGAGACCTTCTCCATCATCAGACCTTCTCCATTGATCCAAGACATTCAAAGACTCGGATCAATGGAAACCAAAAGCCTTTCCTAATTGCAGCTCTGGCAAGCCAGAATGATTTTTGTTGATCTCTGTACTCTCCCGTCCAAAGCATGTGTGGCCCAGGCTGATTAATGAGACCTCTCCTTCCTCCAGTTGCAACATGCAAACAAATTGCTTGTGTAGCCAGAATATGTTGGGCTTCACCCAGTTAATAAGATTGTTCCCATCTGGAGGAAAAGAGAATCCATTTGCTTAATAAGTCTTACATGGCATCTCTTTCTGCCTCACTTGCAAATTGTTACTGGAATGACACTTTGCTCAGAATAGAATGGTTCCAAACTCTCCAAGAGGAACCAATCCAATTAGTCCTCCTCTGTCTGAATGTCTTCATATCGATTCTTTGCTCAAACAAATCCTAGGATCTGTGGTTTTCAGAGTGTGGCTCAAAGGCCTCAACACAGTGCTGGCCCGTTCACCAGTTGTTCTCCAGCGAGCCCGGGCAGCATGGGGGCTGCTCACAGCTCAGCGCTCTGAACGCTCCTTCCTGCGGCCCAGGTAGCTGCTTTGTGGTGGAAAGAAAGAGTGCCCCTGGGAGGGGAGGGATGGAGACTGAACATTTATCACCCAGTTGCTTTCCCATTAGGAAAACTTGGAGAATCAATGACAATTGATGGAGGTGCTGACTTGTCCAGGGGGTGGTGGAAGAGCAGGGTATAGAAATGAGTGTGTGTTTGCTCTATTTACCTCTCCCTCTTTTTCTCTCCCTTTCTCCTATCTCCTCCCCTCATACCCCCACCCCCTTATTTCTCTTCTAAATAGCTCCACATACAGTTCCAAAGTAATGAGAAGTCTCTTCAGGCTCAAGTCTGCTGTATAACAGTGTCCCTACCCACCCAAGTTTCTCATTTAGTCTGGCCAGAGTCTTATTTGATCCTTTTCAGAAGAAAGGCTAACTTAACAATTCGATGTCTTCTCTCCAGGATTGATGTCTACCCATGAGCTGGAAAAGAAAGAATTGGAAGACAATTTTGAAAAGCTGCGGCTGTCATTACAGGTTAATATCTCCGTAACCCTGAAGTCAAGCTAATGGCAGCATCGTTAGTCCTGTCCACAGACATTTGTAATATAGAGGGATGTAAGACGTTCTCCTGCCCTAAGGAATTCATTGTCTATTCAGAGGGTCGTAGCAGAAAGACTGAGAGACAACCACAAAAGGTAGCACATCCTTGCACCGAGTGTGTAATACCGACAGTACGTGCCATGGAGACCCAATGTTGAGCCTCACTAGCTGTGGTCGGAGGAGTCACTGCGCTGTGTGTGAGGAAAGGGGGAACTTGGGAGAAGTGCATGCTGGGCAGGGAATGGTGTGAGGAAGGCTGTGAAGGGTGGAGGCTGTAAGACGTGTCTGGGGGTAAAACAAAGGACTTCAATCACCTAGAGGTGGGTGAGATTGAAAGAACCTTCCCCGCATCCACTGCCAACCTGCACCGCACGTGGGTCTCATGCCAGGGAGCAGCCTGACTTCCTTCCGAAGGAGCCCCAGATCCCCTGCACCTTCCTCCTCCTTTCAGAGACCCTGGCCAGGTGCTCTGTGAGAAGATGATGGTTGCCAACAGCCCCGGGCAGCAGCTGCCTGGGCAGCGAGGGTGCTTCCGCTCCCAGCTGTGGGCATCTCGATCAGAGCAAGGTTCATTTTTAAATACTGGGGACACTCACATCTGGACATGGTGATGACAATAACATGAACGTCATTGATTACCTTAGCTAATACAGAGCCAGGAGTGTTGCCTCTCTGACGGCTGACTCCCCTGGCAGCATGCATCCCACAGAGGTGGCCCGCCTAGGCAGCATCCAGACTGTGCGACACCAGTGCCACACTACAGAGTGAACTATTCCACATTTCCTAAACAGGAAACAGTCCACAGTGAGCTCATCGGTGGGCCTGCAACACGCAGTCCTCACAGGGCTGATCCTTGGCAAATCTACCCCCAATGCCTTCCTCATGCACCGCCTCTCACAGCATTAGGTGCGCTGTCCCTAGGCACGCACACCCGGGAAGGGGAAGCAGGCCGTAATGTAACAGACCCACCAGCCCCAAACTGCAGAGAGGTGGAGTTTTGTTTCACTGAGAGTGCGTCTTCATTCTGCCCCTGCCACCTCGTGGGCAGCGCCCTGTAGCAGAACCCGTTTGGGCTGGAGGCTGTTTGGTACAAGGAGGGTGGGGTTGCTAGAGCCATCTTCCTCCAGTGACTGGCGCTAGAGAAGCAGGCTGTGGTAAGAGACTTGAACTCGTGGGCTTAAATCCCATGGCACCCCCTCTTACTAGCTTTGAAACCATGAACAGTGTGTGAGCTCTGGGTTACTCGCCCATGATGTGATGCTGACGGCACCTTCCCAGAGGAGCGACGTGTGTAAAGTGTGCAGCACCAGGTTGGCTCCTGGCAAATGCTAATAAGTAGCAGCTCTTGCTGTTCTGATAGTCGCTTATATTATTATTGTTTGTTATATTTATTTTTATCATCCTCACTGTTGTTATCATGACGTTGATTAGCTCCTAAGGGGCCGGAGCTAGGCCAGGTCACCCGTGGGGTCTCTGTGCCTCATCCTGACACACAGGAGCCAATCCAACTTGGAAACAGGCTGTGCCATCCAATGGTTGCCATTGCGTGGGCCTGTGGGTTGGAACTGAGTCACGGAGAATATGGCAGAAACACCAGTTTGATATTTGAGAGCCATCCCAGATGGCATTTGCCTGATGCACGTTTGCTGTTCTGCTTTCTGATGGAGGAAGAGAGGCTTGAAAGAAGTGCAACCTCTGACGGCACTGACGCAGCTGGAGCCCAGCCTGGGGAGGCCTGGCGGTGTGGTAGTCACGGTGCAGAGCACCACTGCCTACGTTAGCCGGGTCTATGGGTGCAGACTCCCACTGCCCACCGCATTGCCCTAATACACCAGCCTTTGCTTTCAATGGCACTTTGGGGGCTTTTGTTTCTTAAAATGAAACAGAAGTAACTGGGCCGAAACGGGTTTGGCTCAGTGGGTAGAGCATCGGTCTGCGGGCTAAAAGGTCCCAGGTTCGATTCCGGTCAAGGGCCTGTACCCTGGTTGCGGGCACATCCCTGGTAGGGGGTGTGCAAGAGGCAGCTGGTTGATGTTTCTCTCTCATCGACGTTTCTAGCTCTCTATCACTCTCTCCTACTCTGTAAAAATTCAATAAAATATATTTTTAAAAAAAGAAAAAGAAAAAAAAAAAAAAACAGAAGTAACTGGAAACAAAGAAACAAAAAAAAGAGGACAAGGAAAAAACGAAAGCTGGTTTGCCAAACAGGCTTGTCTGCCATGATGAAGAGAGCAGCTAAGCCAGGTACTTCATACATTGCAGTGTTACTGTTAGAATTCCATAATTTACAACCCCTCGCTCCTGTGTGGGCTGGGGCGAGGCTATTTCTCTAGAGAGAAGAGTTCACTGGAATTCCACAGGTTCTAATGTTACAGAAACGGTGCCATTGGGCAGAGAATTTTGATGAGCAGTTCTTGCTAGGGTTGCCAGGGAGGGGTGAGCCAGGGAAGGGGTGTGGTGCCCCCTCAGATACACCTTCCCTCAGCTGGCACACGGAGGCTGCCTGTGGCTGGTGTGAGCTGGGGGCCGGGAGCATGGTCTAAGCCAGTGGTTGGCAAACTCATTAGTCAACAGAGCCAAATATCAACAGTACACGATTAAAATTTATTTTGAGAGCTAAATTTTTTAAACTTAAACAACTTCAAATACCACTTCTTCAAAATAGACTCGCCCAGGCTGTGGTATTTTGTGGAAGAGCCACACTCAAGGGGCTACAGAGATGCATGTGGCTTGTGAGCTGCAGTTTGCTGACCATGGGTCTAAGAAAAAGCTCTAAACTGAGGGCACAGACAGTCTGAAAAGGGGGGATGGCCTCAGCTCACATCAGGAACACACACCAGGCCTGAGGCCCAGGGAGGCCAAGTGGAGCTTGGTGATCCTGGAAAGAGAGGGAGCTGGCCGATAGAGGCAGGGGAGAGCTGGGGCATAAAATGGGGGGGAAAGAGGGAGAGCAAGAACCTCAGCTGGAACATGAGCAAGACAGACATGGGAGGTCTGTCACCATGTTGAGTACCTGCCCCAGCTCGATGCCCATGGCATGTGCACAGGCCATCTCATCACCGCTCCCCAGGCTGCAGTGTCCACCGAGGACCGAGCTGGGCTCCTTGTGTCGTTACTGCAGGACCAGGTGGACACGCTGACCTTCCAGAGCCAGTCTCTGCGGGACCGAGCCAGACGCTTCGAGGAGGCTTTGCAGAAGAACACTGAAGAGCAGCTGGAGGTGTCGTTTCCCGGGCCTCCAGCACCCGGGGCTCAGCAGGGCTCTGTGGCTCCTCAGCAGTCTCCCCCGTGACAGGGCCTCTGGCTAATCTGCTGCCAAAGTGACCGCTGGTCAGGCCCCTCCAGGAAACCGTGGGGTTTCTCCATCTGAATGTTATTCCTGCCACACTGCACACGGCTCCCGCCACTGTGCCCGAGCTCCTGGGACATGCTTGGCCCCACCAGGACCCCTCTCCGTGGCCTCTCTAGCTCCCTGAGGCTGGCACCAGGAGGCTCCCCTGAGGCCCGAGTTACCCTGTTTCCCGGAAAATAAGACAGTTTCTTATATTAATTTTTTTCTCCCAAAGTTGCGCTAGCTCTTGTTTTCAGGGGATGTCTTATCTTTCCATGCGCTAGGTCTTATTTTCGGAGGATGTCTTATTTTCGGGGAAACACGGTAGTAGGTTGAGCGAGTTTTTGCCAGAAGAGCTGGCACAATCCCTCCCCTCTGTGTACAGTTGCCATGTAAAGCACGTCACACCCAGTTAACTCTGCTTTACAGAGAAGTGAACTTTGCTAGTATAAGGATGTCCCTTTCGATACTTATATTAAATATAATGTTTATTTGAAATTCAAGCTTAACCCACTTTACTATGGGATTTTTGCTGTTGTTGTTGTCACATCTGGCAACATCTAACATTTCTTTTTCTAAAATGTCTTTTCTGCTTTTAAAACCACTTTGCTCTGTTCCTATGCTGGGCGGGGGCTCTCCACGGGCACAGGGAGCACCGGGGAATCCCTGCCACCTGCTGAACCAGGTGTTCTGAGTGGCTGTCCAAAGCCAGCTTTGACCTGACTCCTTTCACGGCAGGAGCTCCCTCTGGGGATGGGCTGCTAGCACCAGCCATTCCAGCCCCAAACTCTCCGTGGTGATGGCTTCCTCTCTTCTTTTCCCAGGGAGCTGGGCCTTTAGTTGCATTCCCAGTGGGACACCAGTGGGCATCCTGACCAGGGAGGGCAGTGTGAGCTGATGTTCTCTCCCTCATGCTCTGGTGCCTACTGGGCAGCTGGCTAAAGAAGACTAGCTTTAGTGAGATCCATGCCTTTGGTGAGCAGCGGCCTTTGCAGGGAAAATAGCTTGCTGATCTCTGTTCCGTAGGTTGCACTGGCTCCCTATCAACACTTGGAAGAAGACATGAAGAGTTTGAAGCAGGTGTTAGAGATGAAGAATCAGCAAATACACCAGCAGGAAAAGAAGATTGTTGAGCTGGAAAAGCTGGTGAGTTGGTCTGTTTCCGGGGTAAGAGCCTAACAACTTACTGTCATCGTTGATTTCAACACTGACACTATTCATGATTCGAGCCCTTAACCCCATGCTTCCACCTGAGTGGAGAATTCTATCCTTGAGTCTCAGGGCCTTTCTCAGGTAGCCAGGAATCTCAGAGGTGGCCTCATTTTGCACAACTCTGCAGCCTCCGTCCCCACCCCCTGGTTCTGAGGTGGTTTCCTCACTCCTCCCCCAGGCACGTGTGATGAGCCAGCACAGAGGAGCATCACTGATGTGTGCCAGACACCACACAGAGCACTCTCCGTGCCTTTGTTCTGACAGCAGGGCTGTGAAGGAGATGCTGGAAGCCTCCTTTCACAAGTTAGAAATGGGGGCTTGGGACAGGGCATCTCACTAAGCCAATCAGTGACCAAACCCAGGCGGGAGAGAGCCCCAGCCCAGCGCTCCCATTACTCTCTGCCTCGCCTTTCAGCCTGGCTCCCACAGAACCAGCAAAGGGCACCCCTTTTGGGGAACAGAACACTCCAGAGTTCCTTCTCTACCTTTATGCACAAGGGCCATGCCAGGGCTTGAGGAGATGGTTGTCCAAAGTTAGTAGCAGAGAAGCAGGTTTCCAAGGAGACATCATCCTGAAATAGAATTTGACCCAAGGCTCTCAGATAAATTGTTACGTTTTATTCATTTTTATAAATTGCTATATGTAATTTTTATACAATAAAAGGAAAATATGTGCATTATAGAAAATGATTAGACAGCCCTGGCCATCAGTGGCTGAGCATTGACTTATGAAACTGGAGGTCTCAGTTAGGGCAATTCCTAGTTGGGGCACATGCCCGGGCTGTGAGCTCGATCCCCAGTAGGGGGCGTGCAGGAGGGAGCCGATCGATGATTGTCTCATCATTGATGTTTCTATATCTTTCTTCCTCTCTGAAATCAATAGAAATATATTTTTAAAAAAGAAATAAGATAAACAGAAATAAGAAAATTAAAATATACTTCTACTGTTAAAACTTTTCAGAGCTTTTTATCTGTACACGTGTACATACCCAGACACGTTTAGTGAGCAAATCTTTAACTTACCATCTCAGTTACCGATCAGCTGGTCTAGCTATTGAAGTTCTCCATTGTTCTGAAATATCTGTGGAGCTGGTTATCCTAATCAGGAGCTGGTGGAGACCTCAGTTTCACATTCAGTTGTCATATCCCTCTCTTACCTAGCATTGTCCCCGTTTGCAGACATCTCTTTCTGCACTGGTGCTCCTTGGTTAAGGAGGGGGCAGACCTGGATGGGAGTGTCTGTTACCAGCATCCTGGCTAATGTTGGCCACGTGGCACCATTCAGCAGCCCTCAGCAGCCCAGAGCTTCCCAGAAAGACCATAACTAAGACCACTGGGAGGCTCAGGGACAGAGTCCTGCCCTCATGCTCCTGCCTATAGTCCAACCAACATGAGGATAACAACCCTCCTCCTCTAGGCAGGGCCATCTGCATCAAGTTGTTCAATCACTGACAAGCCTAGATGTTGATGTGGCTGTTTTTAGCCATGCTTTAGTCATTCTGCAGGCATTCATAACTTCTCATTCCAGAAGCAGTTGTGTGTGTGTGTGTGTGTGTGTGTGTGTGTGTGTGTGTGTGGTAGGGGAGTGTGGTGGGGCTGGGTGAAAGTGTCAAAGTGTCTTGATGAAGAGCAGGGACAGATCTATTCTTTGGCTCTGATTCCTAACCCTTATTCTTGGAGAGGTTAAAGTTTTCTTTAAAGATTAACTACACTAATATATAATTTGTCACATTCTTTTCAAAAAATAATTTATTTTAAACTTTATATTAGAATGGAACTGTACTTCAGCTAGGTCTTGGGCCCTGTGAGACCCTCTGACAGAGAGAATGGTAGGAACTGTGGGGCAGTAACAGCCCTGAATGCTGTGATTTTTCTGATAATGCGCCAAGATGGTCTTGTGATTTGCATTCCTGGATGCCCATAGGCTCAGAAGGGAAAATGTGTCCGAGTGAGTTTCCGTATCTCCATTCATTTAGAATGTCATAGGGTGCACCCAGCAAGGGATGGTAAGGACCATGGGACCCGTTAGCCAGACTAAGTCCCGGTGCTGATCATGGCATATCTCTAACAATGGCAATAGCCTGGAGACACTCACCATAAAAAATATTTCTACACAGGATTCCAGTATATACATACACACTGATGTGCATACTATTGGTAAAAGGAAACTATATATCTAAAATATATATAACTATACTTGCTTTTACTATATACAGCACATTCTGGTATTTTCTCTTCTGCTTTATTTTGTTTTCAACAAATGCTGACCACATCCCTCTAACCTGCTTTTACAACCCACCAGTGCACTACACACTGTAGTTTGCAAAACATGCTTCTTGATAATTTTCCAAAGGCACTTCCTGTCAGATGGCCCTGCCAGGGACCTCCTAACACTGCACCCTTTCCAGGCGGAGAAGAACATTATCCTGGAGGAGAAAATCCAAGTTCTCCAGCAGCAGAACGAAGATCTCAGAGCAAGGATTGACCAGAATACTGTTGTCACGAGGTAGGTAGACCAGGTGTCTAAACTCACAAACCAGGTGTCATCCACAAAGTGGCTTTGCTGCTGAGAGTGAGGGTCCTGTTTTTGTCCCAACGTCCAGTTTACCTCACTGCTCTGAGTTGTGAGGCTTCCCCAACCGTCGGACAACATATGGCAGGAGCCCCGATGCAGCTGGGTGTGGCTCAGGTTTGCTCCCAGAGCGGATTTTGGAGGGGCCAGCCGGGTGCTCCCAGGGAAAAGGGAGCCACCATGAGTGCCACCCTGTGCGCAGCCAGCTCAGCGGTGCAGACCCCTGTCTCCCTTGGCTGCTGAGCTGTTGCCATGGGCTAGCCTGGCCCTGGCAGTGAAGGATGGCCCTCGCAGAGGACAGCAGAGATGGAACGTGCCGGAGAGAAGCCATGTAGGGGAATGTAGCTGCTCCTGGTGACATGTCTCCATCTTGGTCCCCTGCTATGAGGTCCCCAACTTCCAGGGAAGTATGTGGAGATAACCCTCTGTGGTCAGTGTGCAGTAAAACAGCCTTTGGGACTTCATCAGCCAGTGGGAGGCTATTTTTGTCCATTTGGGCTGAACCCCAGCTCCTGAGACCTGGCCAGGCATCAGGCTGGATGCAGTGGGATGGGAGGCCATCTCCCACCCATGCCTGCAGGGCTCCCTGTCACAGTGCCTGTGCGGGGGGCAAAGAGATGGAGCAGATTCGCTACTGGCAGGGAGGCTCTGAGAACCCATGTGGAAGCGGGACAAGCAGCGATAGTGGTTCAACCAAGATTGTGGGTTGGGGTCCGACTTATCCCCATTGTCCCACAGGCAGTCTTGGCCTTGGCTGGCTGAGACCCTGTGGCATGACTGTCTTCTCCCCGTGCAGACAGCTGTCCGAGGAGAATGCCAATCTGCAGGAGTACGCGGAGAAGGAGGCCCAGGAGAAGAAGAGGCTGAGCCGCACCAATGAAGAGTTGCTCTGGAAGCTCCAAACTGGGGACCCGACGAGCCCAATTAAACTCGCCCCCACGTCTCCTGTCTACCGCGGCTCCTCCTCCGTACCCTCCTCACCCGCCAAAGTGGGCCCCACGCCCAGATGACAGCGCCCCGCTGCCCGAGTACTGTGGCCCTCACGCACCCTGCCTGCGGGGCCACCTGGAGGGAGTTTGGACCAGCCAGCCCCGCGCATGCTCAGCAGCTGCACAGCGGCACCCTCCGGAGCCCACTGCTCCTCCCCAGTGTTGGCACGGAGGGAAGTGTTCACATTAGTGTCTGATGTGCAAACGTTTGGCCATAGTTAGAGCCAAAAGAAAGAAAGGCCAACTGCTTTTGAGCGATAAATTTTCACTGCAGAATTTCAGGTTAGTGACATTCAGTTTGGAATCTATACTGAATAATCATCGAGTATTGCCCTGATGTGTGTATATATGTCAGTGTACGTATCTGCACATGCGGTGGTTCTAAATTGCATTTTTTATAACATGAAGTGCTGACATATTTTGGCGAAGGTCAGCAGTTTTCTAACTTGTGCCTAAAAATACTTGGGAAATGAAAATGCATTTCTATCTAGCTTCCCAGGAATATTTCTACCCAAAATAGAAAAGAAAAAGAAAAAAAAAGATACTGAGAAGCGCCTTTCGACCTGCCACCAAGTGGTACTGTATTTAACACAAACACCAGCGACTTGTGAACAGTAACTGCCTTTGGAACAATCAGCTTCTTAGTCACCGTTAATAATTTGCAGGTTTTAATTATTAATGCTCCTGTCAGGAGTGGATAAGGGAAACCCTGCGGGGTCTAGCAGCATTTTGGATGTTTCAACATGACAGTGAATCATCTATAGTCTTGTAAACACAAGTTTTGCTTTTTTTTCCTAACTGGCATCTGGGAATCTGTCATTCAGCTATTGTACCCTTGGGGAAAATATGGAACAGCATGCCCTTCTGGAGGGAGGGTGAGGATGACCTTGGAGTTGACCAAGACCGTTCTCCCTGAGGCCTCAAGAAGGAAAACTGCTGACAGGATCTATGCCCTGACTAAGCCTAGAGTAGGGAAGCTCTGGCATTTTATGTGGTTTGCTCTGATCTGATGCTGCAAGTGGTCAATCCATGGATATGACCTTCAGGCCCCCATTCATAGCAACCTCCCCTTCAGTTCGGTTCAGTAACTCAGTCCCATCACTGTACATTGAGATGGCTCATGGGTTCTAGCAGGGGCTTCCAGAAAACCAATTCTTCCATCCTGGGGGACAAATTTCATGCTGAGCTAGACCATCACAGGATCCTCCAGGAACCCAGATGTATTTTCTGCAGGATCATCGAGCAATGATGATTGTGACTGACAGTGCTCCCATCTTAGACTCAAAAGTCCTTCTATACAGAGGAGCCCACTGAAACTGCCAGCCAGCGGTCACTGGCTACTGGACTGGTATCTGTCTCTGAAATGGTAGAATTAGAACGTGAGAGGTATTCCTGTAGTGCTGTGGAAGGTTAGGAGCATGACACCCGACAGGGAAGTAGCTTAAACAATTGATATAATGATAATGATGCCTTTGTTTCCTGTTTGTGACAGAGACCCTGTACTTTCCTCCCTAAGGCCCCTGGAAATTGTCCTGAGCACAGGGCAGTCTTTGAGTAGGACCAAGGCAAGTGAACTCACGCAGGGACATCTGTGATGGGGAGAGACGGCCCACAGAAGGAAGGGGTCAGCTTGCCCAAAGGCCTGCCTGCTTTGCTTGCATGAAGACACACCTGGTCTGTGCTCCCTGCCTGAGTCAGGCTGGGCTTCCTGGCTTAAGGTCCCCCTTGTTTCTAGCAAACCTTCAATGGCATTGGCCCATCCGGGGACATACACAGTAGATGCCCACCAAAGAAACATTTCTCCTTCCATGGCTCTGCATGATGCTGTGATATTGAGTTGGGCATTTCATTAGAGTAGATTATGCCACATTCACAAAGTATACAGTTCAGTTATGTCTTCCTTTAGCGGCACCACCTGAAAACACAGCTTCAAAGGTAGCTCAGCTCTCCAAATTAGGAACTGCGTCCACAGGGACACCTGCTAAATGCAGTCACACAGCAATCCTGATTCCAGTGTTCTGTTAGGATGTGCTACAGCATGTTAGCGTATTGTGGCCAAGGTGTGTGGTATTTAGCACTAAATAATCCCTCAGGTGGACTGGAGCTCTGTCCCGACCAGCCCTCACCTTGGGACTTGAGCTAGTTCCTACATTGCCATGGCCTCATCCTTCTTCATGGACTCCCATCACATCTGGCTGTTGTCCTGGAACATGAGGGGTGGCAGCCATTGTGCTCCCTTTCGCCACTCCCACATGCTATCAAGACTTGGACCTATCTCAACATGGAAGTCCTGTCATCTGTTTCCACTTACAGATGCTGCAGCTCCTCCTGCCTCAGACAGACCCACCAAACCTCACCGACCTTTTCTTGGTATTTGGGAGCTGAGTGTGTGTCCTTCCCTATTGCCAGGCCCCCAAGCAGGGGCAGGATTCTGGCTGGATGTCAGAGAGGGGAAAGGGTTGATGGACTGGCACACTGGGTGATTGTTTGAACGGGGTCACACATTCCTTACCTGGCCCCTCCACTTTCTGTATTGCATATTTGTATTTGAAGTGTATTAAAGTTAATTTGAGGGAGCTCCTGTGACACACACTTGATGTAACTCTTGGCATGAGGAAATTCAGGCTGGATCCATAGCAGCCAGGGATGGTTTTGGCAGGCTGGATTTTTTTTTTTTTTTCTGTGTTTTGCCAGGGTCAGCCACTGAGTCTCCAGACCTTTTGCCCTGATTCAATAGGTCTGAGGCCTCCACACGCATATTTGCAGGCCAGAATCTCCAGAAGCCTGGCCTTGGCTTTGAGGGACTCAGTGACTCTGCTCAGCCCAGCTGTTTTTAATAGGTTGGATGGGCTGGAGTTAGTGGGAAAGGGACACAAAAGATTGAGTGCAATCCCTTTACCATCAATTTCAAATTCAGCCCTGGACGGGGTTATGATTCTACCCCCAACAAAAGTTTGATGTGTCCTAAATCCTGTCAGTTCATGCCGGGATGGCCATAGATCTCTCTCATGAGCAGCAAGGAGCCCTCCTGGTGTGATGGTCACAGTCAGCAGTTCCTTGTCATGCACAGATGACCTGTTAGGCTTTCAAAGCTCTGTGGCTTCTCCTACAATACTCTGTGCAGCCAGCACATTTGTTTCAACCTGAAAGCTCTTGCTCCCCAATCCTGACCTCTGGTTGGGTTGCAGCCAGTTTGGCTGGCCTGCCCCTGCTTAAGGCTGCAAGGGAGACCCCTAGTTGTCCAGTTCCCTGTGGTGCTTTTGCAGGGCATACAGAAGTGGTGGGGACTTTTGTGAGACTATAGCAAGTCTGCCATCCTGAACAGCTGCTGAACAAGAGAGCTTTCACGGATGACAAATCCCCTTGAGTCACTTCCAGACTTACAAGGACCACAGAATCCCCTCTAAGTCACCCAGCTTCCGGATTGTTGATAGTGACTACCCATTTATTGATTCACTTGTCAACCTGTCCCAGCCTGTTAGTGTCCTTTAGTATGTCTTGTGTCCTCCACTTTTATAACAACCACCTTCATTTCATTTCCTCCACACGTGAGGTCTCACCTTTACTGAGCAGGAAGTGGCCTCTGGCATGTGCAGGAAGTGACGACAGAGTTGCTTCCTCCTGTCTGCAGAGAACTATCCCCTCTCACAGTTGATTTGTAGCAGGCAGAAGAGACCTCTAAAGTCAACCACTTGGTCACCTCCTCTGTGCAAGGAGCCTTGCACAGCCTGCTCTCCCAGCATGGGACTTGGGTCACTCATCTCAACGGGAAGGAGCGATGCTCAGGTAGAAACCCAGAAATGGGGACAGGCAGACTGCTGAGATATTCGGGTTCAGTTCCAGACTACAATAAAGCAAATATTGCAATAAAGCAAGTTGTAATCTTTTAACTAGTAGAGGGCCTTGCCTTCATTTTTTTTTTTAATGCAACATCTTTGAGGTGCAATAAATCAAAGCACAATAAAACAAGGTGTCTCACCTGTTTGCACAGCTGGTGCTGCCTCCGAGTATAGGCATCAAACCAGATCTCTGGGACTGCGCAGTGTTATCAAGAATCAGTGTTCTGCCCCCAGGAGTGTTTGGATCAAGTGCTTAAATATACACAAAAAACACCCAAAGTTGTTAAGACAAGGGCAATTAAATCACTTACGTTTGCTTAATATCTTTTGTAACCACTCCGCTTCTCTAAGCCTCTTAAAAACAAAACAACAGGCTCCCTGGGTTCAGCCAGCCCAGCTCTGTTCTCCTCCCCACCTGGCTCACCAAGCCTCTGAGGCTCTGCCAGCGAAGACATGGGGGATGGGATGCTGCACAGCTCTAAGCTGTGGTCACTTTCTGCAAGTGACCGGGATCCTGCCTGGGTGCAGCATGCTAGGGCACCCACTGCACAGATAACCAGGAGGGTGTGCACAGTCAGCAGTTAGGCTGCTACTCTCTGGGTGGTGGTTTCCGTCTTCCCTGCACCCAGGTTAGTGTGGCAGGGGGTGTATTGCATTCCCTCTCAGTGACTACAGACCACCGGCAGACACTCAACAAGTGACTTCATTGTGTTTTTAAAAAAAATGTTTTTATTTAATAATTTGAGAGAGAGAAACATCAGTTTGTTGCTCCACTTATGTATGCACTCATTGGTTGCTTCTTGGATGTGCACTGTTCTGGGATCACACCCGCAACCTTGGTGTATTGGAATGGCACTCAAACAGACTGAGCTACCCCACCGGGCCAACTTCATTGTTCTGCGAAGTAAAATGTTAAAGTATCCATGGGAAAGGGTAACCCGCACAGCTTCTCCATTTCCCTACTCAACCTGATTCCTCTAGGATTAGGCGTTGAAAAGCAGGCCAAAGGGCTCAGCTCACTAGCAAAGGTGCTGCCAGCTTGGTCCCTGAGCTTTTCTCTCAGTGCATTTTTCAGCGACTGTATTGATGGTTTGGTGGACAGGCCTGACTTGCTCAAACAAAACTGTGCCCTTTGAAGAGGGGCCAGCAGTGTGACCACCAGTAGGTATCCCAACCCTGCCT